TCTGCAGCCAGGGTGAGGAGGGCAGGGGGTGAGGAGGGGAGGGGAAGAGGAGGGTGAGGAGAGGGGGAGAGGAGGGGGGTGAGGTCGAGGCTTTGAGGGGTGGGAGAGGAGGGGTGAGCAGAAGGGGAGATGAGGGAGAGGAGGGGTGAAGAGGGGAGAGGAGGGGGGTTGAGGAGAGGGGAGGAGAAGAGGGAGGAGGGTGTAGAAGGAGGGGAGAGGAGGGTGAAGGAGGGAGAGAGGGGGGTGAGAGAGGAGGGAGAGGAGGGGGTGAGGAAAGGGAGAGAGGGGTGCGGAGAGGAGGGGAGAGGAGGGGTGAGGAGGGGAGAGAGGGGGGGTGAGGAGAGGAGGGGAGAGGAGGTGAGGAGGGAGAGAGGGGAGAGGAGGGGTGAAGGAGGGGAGAGGAGGGGGGGTGGAAGGAGGGGAGAGGTGGGGGTGAGGAGAGGAGGGAGAGGAGGGGTGAGGGGGGAGGGGGAGGGGGAGCTGCGGGTGGCATTCGGGGGATAAAGCTGGGTTAGAGGGGTGGTGAGAGGAGGTGCTCAACTCTTGGGCTGAGGAGGTGACCAACGAATTTGGTGTGCATACAAGCCCGAATACCATTCACGCAAAACACGTGTGTGATTCACTCCAGAGGTCGTTCCAAACTGTGGACCAGGTACATGAGTTAGTCCACATTAGTCCTGGTCTCAGGTCTCTGTCCTGAAGTCCTCTCACATTAGTCCTGGTCTCAGGTCTCTGTCCTGAAGTCCTCTCACATTAGTTCCTGGTCCTCAGGTCTCTGTCCGGAAGTCCTCTCACATTTAGTCCTGGTCTCAGGTCTCTGTCCTGAAGTCCTCTCACATTAGTCCTGGTCTCAGGTCTCTCTGTCCTGAAGTCCTCTCACATTAGTCCCTGGTCTCAGGTCTCTGTCCTGAAGTCCTCTCACATTAGTCCTGGTCTCAGGTCTCTGTCCTGAAGTCTTCTCACATTAGTCCTGGTCTCAGGTCTCTGTCCTGAAGTCCTCTCACATTAGTCCTGGTCTCAGGTCTCTGTCCTGAAGTCCTCTCACATTAGTCCTGGTCTCAGTCTCTGTCCTGAAGTCCTCTCACATTAGTCCTGGTCTCAGGTCTCTGTCCTGAAGTCCTCTCACATTAGTCCTGGTCTCAGGTCTCTGTCCTGAAGTCCTCTCACATTAGTCCTGGTCTCAGTCTCTGTCCTGAAGTCCTCTCACAATTAGTCCTGGTTCTCAGGTCTCGTCCTGAAGTCCTCTCACATTAGTCCTGGTCTCAGGTCTCTGTCCTGAAGTCCTCTCACATTAGTCCTGGTCTCAGGTCTCTGTCCTGAAGTCCTCTCACATTAGTCCTGGTCTCAGGTCTCTGTCCTGAAGTCCTCTCACATTAGTCCTGGTCTCAGGTCTCTGTCCTGAAGTCCTCTCACATTAGTCCTGGTCTCAGGTCTCTGTCCTGAAGTCCGCTCACATTAGTCCTGGTCTCAGGATTCTCTGTCCTGAAGTCCTCTCACATTAGTCCTGGTCTCAGGTCTCTGTCCTGAAGTCCTCTCACATTAGTCCTGGTCTCAGGTCTCTGTCCTGAAGTCCTCTCACATTAGTCCTGGTCTCAGGTCTCTGTCCTGAAGTCCTCTCACATTAGTCCTGGTCTCAGGTCTCTGTCCTGAATCCTCTCACATTAGTCCTGGTCTCAGGTCTCTGTCCTGAAGTCCTCTCACATTAGTCCTGGTCTCAGGTCTCTGTCCTGAAGTCCTCTCACATTAGTCCTGGTCTCAGGTCTCTGTCCTGAAGTCCTATCACATTAGTCCTGGTCTCAGGTCTCTGTCCTGAAGTCCTCTCACATTAGCTCCTGGTCTCAGGTCTCTGTCCTGAAGTCCTCTCCACATTAGTCCTGGTCTCAGGTCTCTGTCCTGAAGTCCTCTCACATTAGTCCTGGTCCTCAGGTCGCTGTCCTGAAGTCCTCTCACATTAGTCCTGGTCTCAGGTCTCGGGTCCTGAAGTCCTCTCACATTAGTCCTGGTCTCAGGTCTCTGTCTCAGACTGGTCTCTGGATCCACATGTTCTGAAGCTGTTTCTGGAGCCGTATTGAAGCTTAATTGCTCGACCTTTTGAGTGGGTTTCTTGGCTTTCAGTCGGCGACGTCTCAAAGGAAGCTAACGAGAGGCTTTTCACGAGCTAATCGCTACAGATGCTACGAGAAAGAAACAGGGAGTTGTTTTGGGATCGCCTCACGCGCGCGCTCGCGAGTGAGTCGAGTGAGATCTTAGTTTGTGTGAAAGCTACATCATCTTTAAGCATCTGCTTTTATAAAGGTCTGTGTGTGTCTCTCTAAGGTCTCTTTGGTCTCTCTCCCCTCTCAAAGTCCTCTCTCTATTAGTCTCACTCTCTCTCACACCCCCCTCTCGCTCCTGTCACTCTCACTCTTCTCCTCTCTCTCTCTCCTCTATATCTCTGTCTCTCCCTCCTCTCCTCTCTCTCTCTCTCATCTCTCCTGCTCTCTCTCCCATCTCTCTCGTCCTCTCAATCCTCTCACTCTCTGTCTCTCTCTGTTTCGTTGTTATCACCATTAAGGTCCTATGGATTAAAAGGTTTTTCAGGGTCTGGAGTAGCTGCTCAGCAGGGGGTCATTCTGATCTCAAAACCTCAGCTGCCATCTGAACTGAGAAGGAGGGGGAGAGAGAAGGGGGAGAGAGAGGGGAGAGAGGATAGAATAGAGGAGGAGAGAGAGAGAGAGAGGAATGAGAGAGAGAAGAGAAGAGAGAAGGGAGGCGGGTAGAGATGGAAGAGAGCAAGAGGGAGAGGAAGAGAGGAAGAGAAGAGGAGAGAGAGAGATACGGACCGGAGAGAGAGAGAGAGGGGGGAGAGTGGAAGAAAATGAGAGAGAGAGAAGACCCGAGAGAAGAGAGCGGAGAGAGAAGAGAGGGGAGATAAGAGAGAGGAAGAGAGGGAGGAGAGGAGGGGAGCCTAGGAGGAGAGAAGGACGGAGAGAGGTCGGAGAGAGAGAGAGGAGTAGAGGAAGAGAGGAGCGGAGATGAAGAGACGGAAGAAGAGAGAAGAAGGAGAAGAGGAGGGGTTAGAGAGGAGGAGAGAGGACGAGGTGACGGAGAGAGGGAAGGGAGGGGAAGATGGGGGGAGAGAGAGTGAGGGAGGGAGTAGTGGGATAGAGAGGGGGAGACGAAGAGAGAGAAAGAGATCGAGGGCGCGAAGAGGGGAGAGAAGACCTGGCTCGAGGGCGTCTCCTGAGGGGCCGAGCTACAGGTTTGCTCTCGCGCGATGGCGCGCTCGTCGCGCGCGCGCGCGACGCTCGTCGCCGAGAAGATGGGGAGCGAGGGGGATATGCGAGAGATGCGAGACTTCGCGTACGGTGATGCAAGCGCGCGGGGGCGCTCTCGCTCGGGTTGAGCTGTCGCTTCACGCCCGTGGGAGCGACGAGTCCCGGCGCTCTCGCTCTGCTCTTTTCTCTCGTTCATGTTGTCTCGCGCTCGGGGTTCTCTCTCGCTGTCTCTCTCTACTGTCTCTGTCGCTCTCGCTCTTCTGCAGCGTCCTCTTCTCTCCTTCTCGCTCTTCTCTCTGCTCTCTCTGTTGTCTCTCTTCGGCGCTCGCTCCTCTTCTCTTCTCTGTTGTCTGCCCTCTGTGTCTATCTCTCTCTGTTGTCTCGCACTGGGTCTCTCTCTCTCTGTTCGCGTCTTCTCTCTCGTTTTTTCTCTCTTCCCTCCGTCTCTCTTCTCTCTCTCGTCTCGTTTCCCCTCTATTCTCGCTCTCTTTCTTCCGTCTGTTTACTCTCTCTTTTTATCTCTCTTCCTCTTTTTTTCTCTCTTTTCGCTCTTCTCGTTTCTCTCTCTCTTTTTTCTCTCCTCTCTCCTTCTCTCTCTCTTCCGCTGCTGCGCTCTTTTTGCTCGCTTCTCTCCTCTCGTCTCTCTCTCTTTTTTCTCTCCTTTTTTCTCACTCTTTTTTTCTGCTCTCTTCCTCTCTCTCTTTGGTCTCTTCTTTGCGCTTCTCTTATCTCTCTTCTGTGCTCCTCTCCCTTCTCTCTCGTCTACTCTCAACTCTCGCTCTGCCGCTCGCTTTCTTTCGTCTTCTCTCGTTGTGGTCTCCTCTCCTTCTTTTCCCCCTTCTCTCCTCGTTTTGCTGCTCTTTTTCACCGTTTCTCTTCCTCTTTTTCTCTCTTCGCTTTTTGTCTCTGTGTCCTCCTTTTTTACTCTTCTGCTCCTTACAAGTGGACCTCCTCTCTCTTGCTTTCCACATCTCTCGCGCTACCTTTGTTTTCGATCACTTCTCTCTCTGCGCTCTGCCTCTCCTTCATCTTCTTCTCCCCTTTCTCACCCTTCACCTAACGCTTTATGCCTGCTCGCCCACCTTTTCTCTCTTCTACTCGCTCTCTACTCTATCCTGCTCCTTCTTTTTTTTCTCCTCTTCTCTCTTGTTTATTTTTCTCTCTCTTTTCCCTTCCCTCCTGTGTTTCTTTTTCCTTTCTTTTTTTGTCTTTACTATTTTCTCTCCCTCTTTTTCTTCCTGCGCTCTCCTCCTCTCTAATTCTCTTTCCTCTCTCGTTTCGCTCCTCTCTCTTCTTTTCCTATCTCTGTCTGACACTCCGCGCCGGTGCTACTCTTCTCTCTCTTCTCTCCCCACCTCTCTCTTCTCCC